CGTGAAAAAATCCATAAAAATAGTCCCAAAGTCCCAATCCCAATAAGTTTTACAAAATTACAAATAATTTCATAAAATATTTTTTATTTTTGACCAAAAACGATGCATACAAATTCTTCACATTTTGACAGAAACGTTAATCAACACGAATTTCTAAAGATTTTCTCTAAATTCTCTGATTTTATGAGAAACTTGCAGGAAAATATACAATTTTGAGAAATATTTATTTATTATTTTTGACAAAAGATGACATAAAAAAGTTCACATTTTGACAGAACATTTTTTGAAAAGAAATGTATATTTTTTCTGAATTTTAACGACAAAAATGTACATAGCTGCAGACACAAAGACACAAAGACACACAGATACAGAGATACTCTGACACACACAGACACAAACTGACACAGACAGACACAGCCACAGACACAGCCACAGACAAAGGCACAGACACAGACACAGGCACAGAGAAAGTTAGCGTACCAAAAACTTATATTTTTTCTGAATTTTAACAACAAAAATGGACACACTTAAGTATTTTAAGCCAAATGAGTGCATTTTTAGTCATTTCTGAGAAACTTTTTTTTTTTGGAGATTTGTTCAGGAAATTATAGGTATAGTATATAACTGTGATCAAAAGTTGGCGTCCCAAAAAATTATATTTTTCTGAATTTTAACAACAAAAATGGACACACTTAAGTATTTTACGCCAAATTAGTGCATTTTTAGTCATTATTGAGAAACCTTTTTTTTCGGGGATTTGTTCCGGAAATTATTAGTATAGGATTTTACTGTGATCAAAATTTGGCGTACAAAAAAATTATATTTTTCTGAATTTTAACAACAAAAATGGACACAGCTAAGTCTTTTAAGCCAAATTAGTGTATTTTTAATCATTTTTGAGAAACTTTTTTTTCGGAGATTTGTTCAGGAAATTATAGGTATAGTATATAACTGTGATCAAAAGTTGGCGTCCCAAAAAATTATATTTTTTCTAAATTTTTACAACAAAAATGGACATAGCTATGTATTTTAAGGCAAATGAGTGCATTTTTAGTCATTATTGAGAAACCTTTTTTTTCGGGGATTTGTTCCGGAAATTACTGGTATAGGATTTTACTGTGATCAAAATTTGGCGTACCAAAAAATCTAATTTTTCTAAATTTTAACAACAAAAATGGACACAGCTAAGTCTTTTAAGCCAAATTAGTGTATTTTTAATCATTTTTGAGAAACTTCTTTTTTCGGAGATTTGTTCAGGAAATTATAGGTATAGTATATAACTGTGATCAAAAGTTGGCGTCCCAAAAAATTATATTTTTCTGAATTTTAACAACAAAAATGGACACACTTAAGTATTTTAAGCCAAATGAGTGCATTTTTAGTCATTATTGAGAAACCTTTTTTTTCGGGGATTTGTTCCGGAAATTATTGGTATAGGATTTTACTGTGATCAAAATTTGGCGTACCAAAAAATCTAATTTTTCTAAATTTTAACAACAAAAATGGACACACTTAAGTATTTTACGCCAAATTAGTGCATTTTTAGTCGTTTTTGAGAAACTTTTTTTTTCGGAGATTTGTTCCGGAAATTATTGGTAGAGGATTTTACTGTGATCAAAAGTTGGCATACCAAAAAATTATATTTTTTCTAAATTTTAACAACAAAAATGGACACACTTAAGTATTTTAAGCCAAATGAGTGCATTTTTAGTCATTATTGAGAAACCTTTTTTTTCGGGGATTTGTTCCGGAAATTATTAGTATAGGATTTTACTGTGATCAAAAATTGGCGTACCAAAAAATCTAATTTTTCTAAATTTTAACAACAAAAATGGACACAGCTAAGTCTTTTAAGCCAAATTAGTGCATTTTTAGTCATTATTGAGAAACCTTTTTTTTCGGGGATTTGTTCCGGAAATTATTGGTATAGTATATCATTGTCATACAAAGTTGGCATACCAAAAGAGTCTATTTTTTCTGAATTTTAACAACAAAAATGGACACACTTAAGTATTTTACGCCAAATTAGTGCATTTTTAGTCATTATTGAGAAACCTTTTTTTTCGGGGATTTGTTCCGGAAATTATTGGTAGAGGATTTTACTGTGATCAAAAGTTGGCGTCCCAAAAAATTATATTTTTTCTAAATTTTTACAACAAAAATGGACATAGCTATGTATTTTAAGGCAAATGAGTGCATTTTTAGTTATTTTTGAGAAACTTTTTTTTCGGAGATTTGTTCCGGAAATTATTGGTAGAGGATTTTACTGTGATCAAAATTTGGCGTACCAAAAAATCTAATTTTTCTAAATTTTAACAACAAAAATGGACACACTTAAGTATTTTAAGCCAAATTAGTGTATTTTTAATCATTTTTGAGAAACTTCTTTTTTCGGAGATTTGTTCAGGAAATTATTGGTATAGTGCATGACTGTGATCAAAAGTTGGCATACCAAAAAATTATATTTTTCTGAATTTTAACAACAAAAATGGACACAGCTAAGTATTTTAAGGCAAATTAGTGCATTTTTAGTCATTTCTGAGAAACTTTTTTTTTCTGAGATTTGTTCCGGAAATTATTGGTAGAGGATTTTACTGTGATCAAAAGTTGGCGTCCCAAAAAATTATATTTTTTCTAAATTTTTACAACAAAAATGGACATAGCTAAGTATTTTAATGCAAATGAGTGCATTTTTAGTTATTTTTGAGAAACTTTTTTTTTCGGAGATTTGTTCCGGAAATTATTAGTATAGGATTTTACTGTGATCAAAAGTTGGCGTCCCAAAAAATTATATTTTTTCTAAATTTTTACAACAAAAATGGACATAGCTAAGTATTTTAAGGCAAATGAGTGCATTTTTAGACATTTTTGAGAAACTTTTTTTTCGGAGATTTGTTCAGGAAATTATAGGTATAGGATTTTACTGTGATCAAAAATTGGCGTACCAAAAAATTACATTTTTTCTGAATTTTAACAACAAAAATGGACACACTTAAGTATTTTAAGCCAAATGAGTGCATTTTTAGTCATTATTGAGAAACCTTTTTTTTCGGGGATTTGTTCCGGAAATTATTGGTAGAGGATTTTACTGTGATCAAAAGTTGGCGTACCAAAAAATTATATTTTTTCTAAATTTTTACAACAAAAATGGACATAGCTAAGTATTTTAAGGCAAATTAGTGCATTTTTAGTCATTATTGAGAAACCTTTTTTTTCGGGGATTTGTTCCGGAAATTATTGGTATAGGATTTTACTGTGATCAAAATTTGGCGTACCAAAAAATTATATTTTTCTGAATTTTAACAACAAAAATGGACACAGCTAAGTATTTTAAGCCAAATTAGTGCATTTTTAGACACAACAAAAATTCAAACAATTTCAAGATGCTCTAATTTCATGAGAAGAAAAGATAAAATTCTGAAAAAGAATTTCATGAAATGCCTTACTGTATGACGTGATGACATGGCAGGAAGCAGACTGGAGCCAACTGCAGCACAGGGGAGTCCCTCGTCAGGTGCAGCAGGTTTATCTTCAAAGTGCAGAATACCAAAAACTTACTTGGTCACAGGAATAAGTCATAAACTACGAGGCATAGACTTCTCTAAAACATGAACGACTAGGCATGACCTAAAGACAAGACACAAAACACACACATGAACTGCACAAATGAAACAATGATCCAACAACGAGAGAGTGAAAGATAGACGTATACATACACTGGGCGTCAAGTGACCGGAGTGAGACTGATGACCAAGACAGATGAGTGCAATCACACTAAGGAACTACACCAGCAGACAAAGCAGGAAAGGGAAACAGACCGCCCTAACAATGTGACTAACATGACATACAATAATAGGATTTCAGCAAATATTTGAAAAAAAAAAACCCAAATTCTAAAGTAAATGCTCAAAACGCAGTTATTTGATTAGAAACATGCAGAAAAGATAAAATTTTGGAAAATAAATTTCAACATTTTTCATGAAGATTTTTCAACATCCGATTCCAAAAATCATTTAAAAATAAGATTTTGCCAAAAAATTCCTATTTGTTTCTAAAAATTGCTTTAATTTGATGAGAAACATACCAAAAAGGTAAAATTTTGTTTTTGTTTTTCAAAAATGTGCATGTAAATGATTTAACATCTGACTAACAAGACATTCGAAATTAATATTTTACCAAAAATTAATATATATATATATATATATATAAATAATAATAATAACATTGTAAGAGGAGTTTGAAGCAGAAATGGAGAGTGAATGACGGCGCAAAGCCGAATACACGTCATGACGTCGTGGTTTGAAGCCTATGAGAATCTCGGTGCATAACAGCGTCGATTGGTTCTATGTGGAGAAATGTCTTGACTTCAAAGAAGCGACCGTTGGTGCGGTGCTCAGAGAGAGAGAGGGAGGGAGAGACAGAGGGGGGGGAGAG